GATGTTTTTGCTCTTCTCCCGACTGGTTTCGGCAAGAGTTTGATCCATCAATTGGCTCCTCTTCATCGTCGCTCTGTTACGTCATATGCTTCGTTGATCTGATTGGTTTATTTGGCCCGTCTATCACCAACATAGGCCAATCAGCTAACCAGTATTTTCGCCCCGTCCCAAAATTACTTCTACTGAAGGTTTCCAGATGGATATGCGGAGCAAATCCATCTGGCGGAGTCAGGTTATCAAACAAGTACTTTTGGCTATTAAACAATTTGTTTATTTTATTAACAGGGGCTTCATTAGTGAGTGTAGAAGACCTGTCCACAACAAAAACAACCTGACACCTCTTCCTGGAGGACATCAGCTTGGTCACACACTGCTGTGGGATGTCATCCCATTCTTCAGCCATCATATGACTCAGGGCATCCAGTCTGGTTGTGTTGGTTGTCTAAGTTGATCCTATAAGGTCTCAGTGCGACTTAGTTCAGGATGAAAGGTAAGTTGTTCAATCCTCTACAGCCCCATATTCTGAAGGTAGTCAGATAAACCCGGGTGTGATTGGCAGAGCTATATAAAAATAATAACAGGATAATAATAACTGAACTTTATTGATCTCACATTGGAGAAATGTACCCCTGCATTTAGCGTATCCCCTTGAGGAGCAGTGGGCTGCCATCATGGGGCGCCCAGAATCAGTGTAGGGGTAAGGGTCTTGCTCAGAGAGCCAGAGTGGCAGTCTGTGGGAGTGGGGCTCGAACCCGGAAACCTCAGGATTCCAAGTTTTATGCCCTAACTACAAGACAGCCACTCCCCTTTATATGCCTTTGATTATAGAGTTCATCCTCTAATAAAGGATCCCATTTGGATATCTCTCTACATTTATATTTACTCTATTATGTACAACCTTTTTTTCCCCAATGAGAGCATTGCTGCCCCACAGCATGAAACTGCTAGCCTGGGTGCCATTCCGAACTTAGTCCCGCCCACAAAATTTGAGGTCGGGAAGTTCGGTCTGGCTCTGCTCCATAGTAGCGCGAGTATGATCGCCCACCCTCTGGCGATCCAATCAAATTGTCAGGGCGGGCTTTATACGATGATGGACAGATGATCAACAGTAACCTAATCAACCACGTGACCAATGCGCGCTAGGGTGACAACAATAATGGCTGCCGCTGGAGAGTTTAGGTGAGTAGATTCTGCTATTAGGTCTGTTCTAGAAGATATCGACAGCAAATTAATTTTAAAAGAGGAACAGAGAAATGCGATCAAGTCTCATCTTCTTATTATAGGCGTGCAACTGCACGCTTTGATTTTTGTGGACAACAACTATGCCTCGCTTAACATACGTCACGCACTCCGTTGCTCTTATTGGTTGTACTGTAGGTCTATCCAATTGGGTGCAGAGGCCTTTTTTTTTCTGGTTCGTTCGAAACACGCCCCATAATCACAGCTCTATGGAGCAGTATCAGACTCATATTCTGACTAGAATTGAGTCGGACTACGTCAGGCTATGAAACTGCCTCCATAAAATTGTTTTTGACAGAATTAAGCATCAGACCTACATAAAACTTTTGTCTTCAACCCACAAATCTATTTTCCTCACAGGAAAAAAAACTAAGTTTTTAATTCCTACTTGTTAGGACTAAGCTTGCAGTATTTTCTAGGTCCTTATTGATATAAAACAAAAATGAGATAATTTCCAGCTATTCTACAAACTAAATGATTTCCTCTTGGTATCAACCTTTTCGTTATAAGTCATTATTTACTGCTTAATAATTGAATTAGAATGATGTTATTAACATGTAATTTTATCAAACCCAATTAAAGAAGTTACATTCACATTAGAGATGCACCAATCCATTATTTTTCAGATCCAATCCTAAACCAGGATTCTTTAAAGTTTTCCAGGCCAAAACCCCCAAACTGATGGTGAGATGGAGCGGGGACCCCCTAATTAAATATATTGTATGGAATTGCGTTATATCAAACTGGTCCTATAGTCACTCTATTACAGATGGTGTCATGTAACAAAAGTCATTTTGCCCTGGGATTATTAAAGTATTTCTGAGTCTGATTACTCGTTGATGGGACAGGTGTTGTGAATGAAACGGTGCTCAGCTTGACAGAGCTCCTGTGTGTCGCTGAATGTGTGCATTGATGACATCCATCATCCATTAATTTGTTTCAAACAGGGTGTTGATTTCATGTTAATGTGGATTTAAAGACATTTCAAATCGTGGAAAAAATTGCAGGGGGGAATATAAAAAAAGTCTAATCAGTCAAAACTTTTGCGATGCCCATGCGGTATCTCCGTGGACCCCCTATGGGCCGCGGACCCCCTGTTGAAGACCTCCGCTAAACCGATAGCTGGCCTGACTGTATCGGCCAATATCCAATACCAGTCCTATTGAACTGTTAAATGAATGAACCATATATCTTACCATGTGAGGGAAGGCTTTAGCCTTGACATATTATTAAATACAAATAAGCGGCATGAACAAAGAATCAACAGTTCTAATAGTTCCAAGTGAAATCCACTGGATTGGATCTCTGATACCCGATATCAAATCACCGATATCCAATCCAGCTGATTAGTCGATATCTGAGCGAATATGTGATCCACATATCTTATTGGTGCATCTCGAATCTACATGTATAATTCATGATCAGACATTTCTCAATCTATGTATTTAAGTATAATTATTTATTTTCAAATAAAACTCTTTTTCTGCTTAAAACAACTTGATCAATATCATAGAAGCCCTTCTTCCATCGTTGAAATGGAAGCAGTTTTTTCAGAATGTTTTCTACTCTGAATCCTTGTAACTTTTCCGTTTTATTGTGTTCGCTATAGGTTGCCACTGACCCGTTGTCTCCTCCGTCTCTGCGCTGCTCAGGACATTGAGAGCATTGTCCATGGCCTCCAGCTGCATGGTGTACACTGTGTTTGGTGACAGCGAGTTCACTGAGCCCATCACCATGTTCCCGCTGAACTGGGCAAAGACCGGCTGCTGGGGAGAGTTCTTGGGGGTGGCTGTGATCTTGTAGGAGCTGGCACCCGAGTGGCCGCTCCATTGCACCGTCATGCTCTTTGATGTCACCGTAAACACTGACAGGGTGATGTCTGAGAAGTAGAAGGAAAGAAAGGAAAACATACCTTATGTTATGAAAATGTGCAGAAGTAAGCATTCCAAACATCCTGTGCATAAATTCTTCTGCCAAAATAATTTTGAGATAACATACCATTTTGAGCTGTGCATACCTGAAAAAGACCAAATAAACTGTTTGAGTTAAACAAGGATATATCTTGATGATTAATGGCATGGCATAATTCAAGGAGCAGCAAGCCGTTGGTATTTCACATTGTATCCTGGGGCCATTTATGCCCTGGATCATATTCAGGGAGCATGAGAGGCAGCAGGCTGCACATTACCTTCACTCATCACAGATTTCATGCCTTCTCAGTCCAGGTATTTCTTTCAGGTTGGAATGAATTTGGCTATTGAGCTAAAGACGGGCCTGGTGCATGCACTTGTTGAAAGCAGGGACACTCAAAAGAACCTGTGTTCATCGATTTTAAAAGTTCCTTGCCTTTACAGTTTATCTAGACGTAAATTAAAATTCAGAAATGGATACACTTTATAAATAATGGGCTATAGTATTTGTTCTATTGATAAAATTACTTTGATAAGACAAATGATAAAATGTCAGCACTTACCCCTGTTAAAGTAAATAGAAGCAAAAGTTTGATCCTGTGTAAGCGCGTCGTTCCCATGCTGTCTGTGATTTCCTGCCTGAAGCAGAGACGTGTGATGCAGTTTCTCGGAGTGACTTCAGGGCAGTGGCTCGGGCTTAAATTCAGTATTTTTTTTCTCCCTCGCAAATGAGACGACAGGTGCTTTATTGTTTCAGCAAATACCAAAAACCCCAAAGGCTGTAACTCCACCCCTCAGGGGGTGTCAAAGTGACCTATCAGAGCAAGAGATTGGACTCATCTTTGTCAGATGAGGATGTTGAAGATCCTTATATTACAAAATGAGTCCTCAGCAGCTTTGCACTCTTTTTGTTGGAAAAAACACGTCTGGCAACTATATCCTGTATGTTTGTTGTGAGCTTTTTTGTTTCTCCCAAAGAAACATGGGTATTATGAATACAGCGATAAGCTGAGACAAAGTATGACCCACATGTCCTGATTATGTTATCTTATCAATCCTTGAGACTTTCTTCCTGATTAAAAGCAATAAAGTGTTTTTCTTTTAATGTATTTGTTCTAAGGCAATGATACTTTTACTTTACTTAAAAAATTTACATTTGTGTGTAAAATTGAAACTTAAATGGACTGACCATGTCTATGTATCTGCTTCATGATAAAATACAGATTAATAAGCACATAATAAGTGATAATATCATGTTTCCAAGTGTCTGGGACATTGTCAAGAAATAGCTGCAGTGACTATTATGTGTTTAGAATAAAAACCTTTTACCGTCAGAGGTTATCTGTAACCGATGTGTATCCAATGAACAGGGTGGGGATCCCGTAGGACCAGCATAGAAAAAAACACTATGTTCACAAAACTGTAGCTCAAAAAAAGATTACAGGTTTGCTTTGGATCAATGTCCTGCTTGATAAAGGCTTTTTCAATGTAAGCTTGTGAACTTATGGCTGGATACTTTTCTTAAGAATTGTCTAGTAAAGAGCAGAATTCATGGTTCTATAAAAGCCAATAAGTAATTCAGGTTTCAGAACATCAAGGCGCCCACAGAGAACTACATTACTGCTTAATGTGGAATTGTCAGTTTCATATTTCCTATAATTTCCTGGTAATTCTTCACCATGTTTTGGATGTTCTGACCAAAACAAACACACGCAGGAGAAAGATCCATGGCAGATCATGTAAAAATCTGTCAATTTACAAACATTGCTAATTGACCTCTGCAAGTCTAATTTACGTAGATCATTTTATAAATAATATTTTATTAGTCTGTCTAGGACATATATTGTATATTGGCCTAACTTGTCACAGCCATAGTAGTTATCTCTACAGTCACCACTTTGTCAGATCTGTGCTGCCGAAGATAAAAAATGTCTGCCTCGACAAAGGCAAGACCCTCTCCTATGTAATTATATATAGTAATTTCTTAGGCAACAGAAACATAAATAATGAAACCTTCAGTTCGCATACAGTATCCTAATAAATAACATACTTTTGTATAATATTTTCCTGTAATTATTATAAACTGTATCTTTGAAAATGGCTTTGTTGTACTTTTCAGGTTAATAGATGTAAGGGACTATGTTAACAAGGGAATTTGCAGACATCCCAAGTTCCAAAAACTAATTTCAGGGAGAGGTATAGCCCCCCCCCCAACACACACCCACCGTGGGGACCCGCACCGTGCCCAATGTATACACACTTAACTTTGCAACAACTGTTTATTAACTAACAGTAATTTCTTACACACAAAACAGAACAGTATTGGTCTTTTATTTTTAACACTTTCAATCTTGTAGCCTTGAACATAAGTTGTGCTTTGTTTTTCATGGGACTTCAGCATACAGTGCACCTCGCCACGGTGTCATCATTCCTCACCATGGCCGGTTCTAGACAGGGGCCAATGGGGGCCGGTGCCCCTGTAGATCATGTCCTGGCCGCTGTTATGGCCCCTGTACTGAAGACATAATACTTAAAAGAAACTCTAATGATGATATGCGCAGGAACATAAGGCAAGGCAAGGCAAGGCAAATTTATTTGTATAGCAAAATTCAGTACAAAGACAATGCAAAGTGCTTTGCATGATTCAAATATAGGAAAATAAAACAGAATAAAAGCAGGTAGGAAAAAAATAAAAATAAAAAATGCAGAAACAAAAAAGAATATTAAAAACAGTTGGATTAAAGAAAATCAAAAAGTTGAACTAATAATGTTTCAGTTGAACTGTTTAACTAGAACAGTCGAAGGCAATCCTAAACAAATGTGTTTTTAGTCTTGATTTAAAGGAACTCAGGCTTTCCCCACAGTTTTCTGGAAGTTTGTTCCAGATAAGTGGAGCATAGGAACTATGCTTCTCCAT